CAGACTTCCATTGCCACCACCCTCACCCTCTTGCAATCCATCAATACACCAGTGCCCATGTCCATCACATCCAACATGCATCCAGTACAGCACTCAGCAGCATCCATTAAAATAGGCTGAAGCTGTTCTACTCGCAAAATTTCCCTCATTGTACACTCCGTAACATTGCTATTTCCCAAATAAGTCAGAACTCCATTTCACTTCGTTACACCAATCTAAGCCAAAGCATCAAAATCGTCTCTCTGTAAGAAAAAGGAATTAACTGTAGTCTGAAACTCAAAGTGCAATAAATGGAGTTATTTCCCTTTGACCGTAAAAGCAGACGTGTTGAAGTCTTATCGTTCATCAACAAAACAACCATTGGAAAGACGATCAACTGAAAAAAACGGGTATGAAACAGGACGAAAAACTACAGGTATGTGCAATATTTCTAGAATCTGCTCTGTATCATGTGCCAGCCAGTGGTGTTCACACAGGAGGACATGACACAACCCCAAGAGGCTAACTGCCCCCTCCCCCTCCACTTTCAAATTTCTTTCAATTTCCTTTGAGCCCAATTCTGTGGCTCCTATCAGCCCCTTAGGATTCCTAGAAACACCACTAGTGTTAAGTCTCCCAACCCACAGAAATGTTTTTAAAAAGAAAGAAGCATGCCCCAATCTGGGCCAACCTACCATATCATTGTACTCCATGACTTGTTTTCTGATGGCTGAAGTATCAGTCCATGTTATAAAATCTTCCATACTTCTATAATTCATAAACAAACAAAATAAGGGTAAACAAAGGGACATTTCTGACACATAGTGCCCACAATCTCATTAAAGTTAGACAGAACCATTTCATTTAAAACTAAAAGAATATAAAGAGGTTTTCTAAACTTTTTATGTGTATCAGAGACACTGATGGCATCAATTTACACTATTTGGTTATTTGGTTCCTGGATAATCACTGAAAGTAAGCGTTTTATGACATCACTATACCAAACGCTGGTAGAAGTAGGCCTATCTAAGGGACTTTTATGAAAATCTACAAAGCATAATCAAGCAACAGTATAAAAGTTTTAAGAAAAGTCTGTCCTATAGGCCTACCTGGTAACTAGAAAAGCTGGATCAGTTATTACTTCTGGCCCAACTCGAATATCTATACCTAGGTCAGGAAAAAATGTGTTATACAATTCATACTGACTCAAAGCAGTATGCAACGAGGGAAATTGAGAGAACAATAGCTGTTAATCTACAAGTCTTTCCCACTTTCGATATGAATGTGAAGTAAGCCTCTAGAACAAATATTAAAAAGAAATCCAATTGTCCAATTATGGAGTCAACTGTAAAACCCAAGGAAGAATTTCTATAGCTCAGTCTATATGTATATCTTGGGTGAATAAGATACAGTTTCATGATCGGTGGCTAAAAGAGTGGATGGCACCTGCCCTCTCCTGCCCTATACTTCCCACAAAACAGAAAAACATGATCAATGTCAGCTTCAAGACGAAAGGGCCATGTGCAATCTTGAATTTATATCTAAAAGGATACGTCCTTGTTCAATAAAGGTTGTTGCAGCTTTTAACGTTTCCGCCATATTTAATTTAAACATGACAACAGGCAGACGCCGTCTGAAAATAAAATATTTATAATATAAATTATATCAAATTCAACATAAAGGGAAATAAATCACATAGATGCATTGCAGAATGCCAGTTTCATGGTTTCATTTCAGCCTATATGGATTGAAAAACAAGCAAAAGATCTCAGAAGGGTCAGAAGTGGCTTAGCATCCGAACTTTCAAAGAACTTTTAACGTCCTAATCCTAATCTTAAATCCAAAACAGCTTGGCCTCTCCACTACGGTTCTATTTTCAAAAATGTCCAGTGTCCCTTTTCTCAAAAAAATCTTACGATAATCATTTGTCATGAATTTGTAATTGTACAATGAACAATACTATATTTACGGCAAAAATTGATGAAAAGGTTTTTTGAGAAACGGGGCCAAAATGTTCACTCACCTGCAGAAACTAGAAGCTGTGACATCATCAGCTTTTCCAAGATTAGATTTTCTATCTATTAACCCTAAACCATATCTGAAAATATAAAAATATCAGAAAATATGAAGACAACAAAATTCAATATTTGAAATGATATAGATCAACATTGATTATGGGTATAAAAGAGTTGAAAGCATCTGATTTTTCTTACCTATAAGGGAGATTTAAACCCGAGGCGCCTGTTTTACAGTAGATCCAACTCACGAGCAACAGAGTTGTCTAAATGTCCTTTCATCGTTAGTGTACAAACATTTGGCTTCAAAGGTGTAAATAGAGGCTATAAGCATCTTAGATCCCTTTGAAAGATTACATGCAGATTGTACACAACAATCATCATCAAAAACCAATATTAACCAGCCACAGACAATATGTAAATGTTATTCATAAACATCAAACCAGAACCTGAAACATGTTACTTTATTTCACGTCAGCAATCTCCATACAACTATTATATTTCATATTATAATGTATAATAAAAAAAGCAAATTAAAATAAATGTTCGAGCGGTTGATTTTCGACTCTTTGCAAGAGTTAAAATAATCATAGGAATAATATACAGAAAATCATATCACTGAATTGAGCACTATAGACGAAAGCCAAAATCACTAATTAGTAATAACAATATGGCCCCAAAATGGCTGCTTTAAAGAAAAAATCTTTGGACATTATGCAAGAAATCTATCATAAATATAATACAGAACACACAGAAAATCACCGGAATTAAGTACTATTTCAAATTCAAAATCACAGAGACCTCTAAGGCCCCAACTTCGCAGAATGGCTGCTTTAAACAAAAAAATCACCGAGCTGCATCAGGTCACCTACGTATATAGTATCAAGATAATCACCAGTATCAATAGTCCCTAAATGGGTTGTCCAGAGTTTTCTAATGTGTCTGACTGAAAATTCGAAAGGTTCCAATTGATGCTATCAGTATCCCAAAACACAAAAAAAAAAGTTCAGAAAACCACTTACAATCCCTTACTTCAAAAGTCACTGAAAACGATATTGTCCTGACATTCGCAGAGTTGCCTTAAATCTAATCCCAGTCTCTGCCCTCATTACCAAACATTCTATCTTCTTGACCTCATGATTTGGGTCAACATCTAGAAAATATCGTGACAATATCTTCACTAGAGCCACCTTGATTTCGTGCATCGCGAAATTCTGACCAATACAATTTCTAGGACCGGCACTGAAAGGAATGAATGCGAATGGATCCATTTTTTCGATGTTTTCGGGAGTGAAGCGTTCAGGTTTGAACACTAGCGATTCCTGCCAATACTGAGGATTGTGATGAACACAATAGATATATATGCTTGTCATAATGTCTGCCGGCAGAAGTTTTCCCAAAATATTATGGGGGGCTTCCGTCTGGCGTTGAATATAGCTAACTGTACTATGCAGGCGCAGCGATTCTTTGATGCACATGGATAAATACGGCAACTTCTGAAGGTCATTTGCTTCAAGGTCATCTGAATTTCGGCCAACGAGAAGATTGTCAATTTCTTGCTGCACTCGATCCTGAATTTCTCCATTATCAGCCAATGAAAATAAGGCCCACGAGATGGCACTCGCAGTTGTGTCGTGACCTTCAAACAAAAACGTGTTGACCTCATCTCGGATTTCAAGGTCAGTCAATCCAACGCCATTTTCATCGGACGCCATTAACAAAATATCCAAAAAATCAGTGTATTTTCCTCGTTTTTTAATACCGTCATCTGATTGGCCGTTTTCCAATAAAACTCTTTTCCGTTGGGCAATAATGTCTTCTGCTATTTTATGTATTTTTTCACAATTCTTCATAAATGACTTTCCGAGAGCTGTTCTGAAGAATATAAAATCAGGATGAAGCCATGGTTTTAAGAATCTGTCCGTTAGAATATTTCCCAGTTCGAAAATGGCCTTGACATAAGGATGTTCGTCTCCAATATCCTGACAGTTGATTTCGTACGAAAAAGCACATTTCAAAATAACGTCAAGCGTGAACATTGTGATCATGTGACAACCTTCAAAATATTCTCCTGTTTCTGCAAATTTCTGGATTTTTGAGCAAAGTTTGTCAGCAGCCCTGTTCTTAATTTGAAGATACGGTTTCAAAATTTCAAAATGAAAGGCAGGAGTCAGTAGACGTCTGTTCCGAGCCCATTTATCTCCCTTGCTTAGCAACAAGCCGTCGCCAAGCCATGGTGTAAGGAATCGATACATGAATCCCTTCGGCTCAAAAGATTTCAGCAATGGTTTAACAGATTTAGCAGACGTCAAACAAACTTCTGGTAGCAGAAACCCAAACCAGTTTGTTGTGGCATCAGGATACTGGGCGATCCGATCACGTTTCCATTTCAAGCCATGCTCGTCAGGACGTTTTGGAAAGTCATTGAGATTTCCCCAAAACCAATGAGCTGGGTCATGGTCAAAGTGGTTCAAGATGGCGGTTCGTTGACGATATTTTCTCATGAAAATGGCTGCTTTGATGGCCACATACACTAAACAGCAGAGCGTTCCCACACTGATGATAGCAGACGTCGACAAAAATTCCATTTTTAAACTCAGTAAAGCGTAGCTCAGGTTCAAGCAAAGTTTCTAATTCCTTGAATGTTAACAGCTTTACATTAAACTAATAATAATTAAAATTTGACACAAAATTCTTATGTTGAACTGTTCAGTCAACCAATCATTCACTGACTGACTGAGTCTATATGACTTGTATTCACCAAAATTCCTCTTTCAAAACAACTAACACAAAATTCAGTTTTTTATGTACCAACCAACAGTTCATTCAATGAGTTCTCACAAGATGACCAATTGTTAATCAAGTTTATATAATAAATAATGATAATTCACAAAATCCTCTTCCACAACTGACAAATTTCTTCTATGTCCTTAAACTGTTTACTTAGTCACAGGATGGTCTGGTTTTCAAATAAATCAGGGCCACTTAATGATAAATAGTGGATCAAAATGTAGCACATATTGATAATACTGTCCTGTATATTCACACAATTAAACTTTGTATTTGAACTTTTACCTATTCCTTGATTAAATTAACACAGCTATATACATATACACAGTTAGGAGATACAGATAACATATATAATATTGCACAAAAAATCTCAAGGTTCACATATAGACATAGATATTCTCATATAGACTCAAGGTTCACATATAGACATAGATATTCACATATAGACATAGATATTCACATATAGACATAGATATTCACAGCTGTTACGATGTAATACGTATTGATAATACTGTTCTACTTCTTCACCCAACAATTATACTTTGTTCTGAAACTTAATGCTTAAAGGGGGGTAATCTAGGTGTCAATTTCAACATAAAAATTGGCAAAAATTCTTGTCTCCCTTTAATACATGTATAAAGTTTTTTATAATTTTTAAAACATTGTAAATACATTCGTACGTTTAAACCAGGTTAGCAGGTTTCTGTGACCTTTCCCAAAGCTGGCTGATGACCTCGTGAAGTCATTTTTCCTTCCTCCTTAACACAATCACAAAATTCTACCCAATTTATCTCAATATTTCTCAATATTTTTGATAATTGTTACCATAGCAACAGTTTTTCTATAATAGTTATTAATGTTGTCATTGCTATTATCATTTAACATTTTCAATATTTTGAAATTCAGAAAATGCATGGAATTAACAGGAAAACTGGTTTCTGTATTTGAAGAGGTTTTAAAAAAGGAACATAACTCTTGTACTACCTTGTTAAGCTACATACAACAAATAAGTATGGCCATTGTCCATCATGGAACAATTTCAAACATAAAGATCCTAAACAAAAATAGGTGTACTATATGTTGAAACAGTGTTAGGATTCTGAATTATCGATACAGTAGAAAATAGAAGTTAAAACATGAAAAAACTGTTCAGTAGAAAACTTCATAATGCTAAGAAACTTTCAGCTCACTGAACTCAACGCTAGAAGCAGACGACAGCAGAAAGACATTTTAGCCAGCATTTAGTCCCCTTTTATTAAACTGTTTTCAGTGGTCAAAAAAACCCTAAAATAATTCTAGCGCACTGGACTTAAAATTCAAGATGACATTTAAACAAGTAGCAGACAATATTTTAGCAAGGCAGAGGACTTTTAGTTCTGTAACAATAGCAGACACATCCAATTCCACAGCAGACGACATTTAAGCAAGTAGCAGCCGACAGTGTTTACCCACCAGATGTTACTACAAATCAAGTGCAACCTTCCAGACTAATTATTAACTTGCTTTCTCCAAACATGCCTTCTTTCACAACTTTCTTCCTTCTCAAAGGTCATGAAGGTCAAGTTGGATAAAGGGACGTTTACTTGTATTTCTAATCTTAAAGGGATTGATAAATGATTTTTTTTAACTTTAGATGTATTGAGAACACTTGCACCGTTCCAGTTTTCAATCAGACGTCTGAAGGTCTAGCAATTTGATAAAGTTATTAGTAACTTTTGCGATCGTGACATCATAAAATCCTAAGTTTTTGTTGAATTGCCATAGTTACATATATACCGACTTTGTGACATCATATAATCTTTTCTATAATTACAGGAACCACAGAAATCTTCCTGAATATATGAATGATCCAAATAGAAGTCATTAATGGTTCCAGATACTCACAAAAAAAGGTAGGAAAACCTCTTTATAATCCTGTTAATTTCTTGTATTCAATGTTATTATACTTTTCAAACATTTGCCCAATAAAATAACTACAAGATACATTCCCTTGAAAGCCTGTTCGACACATTTTTTATCATTAGACAAAAATGTTTCCAAGGCAATTGTCTTCTGGTGTAAACCAATCAAGCAGACGACAATTCTTTGTGCACGTCTGCCACTTTCTGACCTTTATTGATTACCTCCCTTAGAAGATATCTGATCGGCAATTCTTTAATAATTAAGGACATATTAAGTTTGAATTCACGGGATCCCAGTCTTTGGAACGTTCCCACCGCCTGGAACATGCTGTGATATAATTGTAACGAGTAATTCCTTAATTAATTTGAATTATTGAAACTGAGATTAGATAAGAAAGTTAGTGATGTCATGATGAATAATTTGCCAACATTGTATCAAATTGTATGACTATGTTGAGAAAGAAATTTTTGACCAATAAATAAATCAAGATCAACGATCTTAACCGCAATACGAAACCCAAAATCCAAACAATATATTGGTGAAACATTGGTAGCAGCTATTGAACTTGTGAAGGCAAGGCTTTGTTTTAGCCAGAAGGGTGAAAATCTTGAGACAGAAATTGTAACCCAATCCTTTCTCCCATTGTTCAATAATATATTGGTTTTTGATAATATTCTATAAATACAATTAATTTTGGGGAGAGGAAGGGAGGTTGTTTAAAAAAATTGGCTGAGCCTTGAAGTAGAAATACTTTATAATGCTAAGAGGTGTATAATAGAATTGGTTTACCCTTGTTTCCAAATATTACAGGCCACTAATATTTATTCTAATTTTTACTTTTAATATCCAATCAAATTACTTTATTTCTTAAAATATATTTTATCTTAGTTAAAATTTGGGAAACAAGGACCCAATACAGCTAGCTGGAAAATAGATGGTTAATTTGCCAAATTGAACCGAAGACTGAGAACTCATTGAACAGTGATCTGTCTGAAAGCTGAGCTGATTCTCAATAATTCAACAGTGGCTAAACTACCTCCGGGACTGATTGAACCAAGTCCACGGGCTTGGGAGGGGCAAAAACCCATTAAAGTCCACGGGCCCCCCACTAATCTAGTTGAGCCACTTCGACACAAGAACAAAATGATAAATGACAAAAATTGACACTTGATTATTACAATTTATGTAAATCTTATTTTCGATGGAAATAAACAAAATATTTTTGACAAGAACTCAAACAAACTCAAGTCATAAAAATTGTCATTTCCTAAAATCCTAATTTTCTAATCAGAACTTTGAAGAGACATGTTTGCTTAGCAACAATAAAAAATCAAAATGGCCAAACAAACCATTGGGTCACTGTCTATCAAAAATAAATTTTCATAAAATCGTCTCTCAAAGAATGAGAAAAGTTTGAATGGATGTGTTTATTTTGTGCAAATAAAACAAAATGTCCGAACAATGGCTGCCTATCAAAAGTACATCTCACTAAATCCTCCTCATAAGAATTAAATGGGCATGTTGATTCAGGGAGGGTCAAGCTAAAAATGTCACTGGTCCAAAAAGGTTTCAGAGACTCAAACGAAATAAAGGGACGAATTTACTGTAGAAAATTAAAGCGCAAAAACAAATGTCAAAATGTAAGACAAGCTGTTTGACTGGTCCATCAAAAAATTAATTTCAAGAAACACTCTCTTTAACCAATCATAAATAAACAAATTAAAATCAGTTTAGTCAGAATTGACAAGGTTTGAGCAGACGCACAAAAAATAGGAGTGTGAAAAGGGAAAAGAATGGATATGAAACAGGGATAGTTTGGAATACCTTTAAACCTAAAGATGGGCTCTTTCTGCCATTCAGTGGAACGATGGAAATTTTGGGCAAGGGTATTAACCTACAATTTTTAGTGATTTCCACCAAGGGATTTGGAAAGTGTACTGCTTATGTGGCCTAGTTGCTTTTTCTATGTTAACACTTTCAACCTAAAGATGGGATCAAGTCAAGCTGCCCCTTGACAGGATCTGAGAGCCATAAGATATTCAAAGATAGCAAAAACCTCATTAATATAAGAGTATTATAAATGCTATGATATCAGGCGCTCTGGGTTCAAATCCCTTGATGAAATAAAACAGCCCTATTCCAAATTGAGAATTATAGGCATTGCATTTCAAACGTCTGATCAATATTGAAATTCGGAATTTCCTTTAAAAAAAGAGTAAGGCATTTCAAACCAACCAACCAATATCAAGACTGCATTCATAATAGTGAAAAGAAATTAACAACCAAAAACATAATCAGCAAACAATGCGAAAACTGGTGTCAAAAATGAAAGAATTAACGCAAACATTAGGAAATGAGAGGCTATAAACCGAACGAGACAGCATTGTGTTGATAATGAGGCTATAGAATTGGGTATTACCATGACAATGGGGTACCTGGAAACCCACTTTACACGTTTAAAAGACAGCGTTAATCGGAATAAAGATTTCTTGATTTAATGACAAGGTGTTTCACGCCTTTATTTTATTTAAGTTAATTAGGGTTTGAGATATTATTATTGATTATTTTGAGGGGAGGGGAGTGAGAACTTGAAAGGAAGGTGGAAAAGACGTGGAATTGGGGGAGGGGGAGGGGGGGGAATGGGGATGAAATGAGTAAAGATACCATCATCAACTTGTTTTCGTTTTATACTGAATATTATTTTTGTGTCCTAGAAGTATATTCTTGCTTTGATCAGTTATTATAGGTTATTTTGGATATGTTATGTGCTGAAGGGAAACTATGTAGAAGAGATAACTACTTGTTAACAGTTTCAATGGAGAAATTTAACTTTGGATTAGAACTTCTCTGTACAAAAAAAAAAAATGTTAATAATGATAATAAACTTACAGTTTTTCTAATAATTGTGAAGAAGATTCCACTCTAAATGGATCTTTAATATCTAATACTTTTATTTTCTTTGCCAGTTGTCTGATGGTTGCCGTCAACTTTTTATATCTGAAAAATACAAAACATTACCGATATCAAAAAT